ACTTCAGCTAAACTATTTTTCTCAGGGTCCTATACTGGCTTCAGGGTGAGGCAATTGTCTTGGTTGCTAGTGTTTTTGTTTTCACACTGAGACCCAGACATCTGGATTTATGGTGTTTGAAGTGTTTCTTGGTGTAGGTATCTGCTCTCATCTTTGTTGGCTGTGTATTCTGTTATTCGATTGCTGTTGGACATTCTGGATCCTAACCAGGTGTACTGGTTGTAGGGTTCCTTGGGTCCCTTGTAGAAAGTGCATCTGTCGGTTGGCGGCTACACAAAAGAATCAGATGAACTAGAAGAAAAGGCAGAATGGGGCAGCGGGAAAGAACTAGGAGGCCCTTGGTCCACACTAGAAGTCATAGTCCCCAGGGAATGGAGATGGGGTGGGAGAAGAGGCACCTATAGGCAGGCTGTGGCAGAACTAAGAGTAAGTCTGGAGAAATTGGAGGGGAGTACAAGAAGGGGAAGAAAGGCCACCTGCTGATTCCTAGCCCATGAGGGTATAGGAGGTCCCCATAGAGAGTGGTGCTATGAGTCTGTGGGTGATACAAAGGAATGTATGTGGGCCTGAAGGAACGGCTGAGATGGGTGTCAGGAAGAGATCTAGTGGGACCCTGGGTCTGCATCCTGGGGTGTATTGTCCAGGTGATGGAGGCCAGGAGGGAGGAGAAACTTCTGCAGGCAGGCTGCAGCTGGACTCCAGAACTATATTTTTTTATTATTAATTATTAGATCACTTTCAGCACTTCATCCCTTAGATTTGGCGAAGAATGGCATGCCTCAACACTTTCCACTCTGCCTACATGAATGCCTTCCAATAAAAACAACAGTTCCCTCGCTTTCCCCGCATATATAAAGGGATTCTAAACACCCCTAGCTGAAGTACTATTTTTTGGGTAGAGAGGTTTTACTGTAAATAAAGCATGGTAAGATTATGTTTCCCCAAGGATCTTTCTAATCCAAAATACTACTTAAGACCTCATTTGTCCATTAGCTTGTTAATTATGTCCTTATAATTCTACCCTTGATGGAGAAATGTGTGGAAAAGTGTGACATTCTAAACCCACTGTACATAAATCTAAGAAAGACTGTTTAATGAGTCAGCAGATTCGTTTCTTGCCACAACCAATTAGTAAGGTCTACCCCAGGTCCTTTTTTTTTTTCTTCTTTCTTGACTTCCTCCCCAAACATAATCTTCTGCCAAACCTTTCAATTACTAACCACACATTGCCTTCAAAATCATTCATGGTTTTGAGCCTCTCAACCACTGGGTGACAACTCAATGAATTCACTAAGGAAAAGAGGGATCATATGAGGACTATGACCACACGACCTCAGACACAGGCCTCCTCTGCAGTTTTTCCGTTCCCAATTCTTACTTATCACTTACTTACCAGTCGAGCCTTTTTGTTCACTAGAAACTGTCAGTAAGATGCACTCTTTTCAAGGGTATTCCTTTTCTAGCAATTATTAATGTCACTTCCAAAGGAGGGACTTGAATCACTGAAGCTAATTTAAAACCCTTCCTCTTACTCAGTTGTACATTTCCTCAGTTGCCTAGAAGGTCTGGTTTTAAATTCACTCTCATCCTTTTATTTCCTTCTGTTCTGCCCATACCTGCCCTAATCCTGCCCTTCTCCCAAGATTCCTTGGAGTGCCTTTGATTCCCCTTAGAATAACAAAGTCTTATTAGTTTCTTCTCAATACTGAACATTAAAGTGTGAGACTAGATAATGCTGTTTTTCTGTTCTAGATTTCAGCAATTAAGCAGTCACACCCTGCCGGTGCTTTGGAGACTTAGAAGACAAATTGACATAGAGTAATGTAGAAACTTTCAAGAGACTGGTGGCTTATAAAAAGCTCATCTTGGCCATGTCATCTTGCAATTAAAAGTTTCTGAAGGACTGTAAGAGGTTCCGAGTCATATATTAGATAATAAAACCCTAAAGCAAACATCTGTGCATGTAGGTCAGTCCCATATTTAGATGGGATAGTCTACAAACTCTGTAGCCAAGTGTTATAGTCTTTTGATCCCCACCCCCTCCTTCTCTCCCAGCTGGTTTTGGTGGAGTTTTGAATATGGTTTCATTTTTGGCCAATGCTTCACTGCTTTGCCTGTGAGAGTTAACAAATCTAAGGACGTTGGTTTGGTTTCCCAACGGGTTAGTTCTCTTCCTGCTAATCTGAAGTTGAAGACTGTCCTTCAAATTGTGATCAACCATTTTAGAAATGGTTGGCATGAAGGAGATGGATGAAGGGAGTCAGATGGGTCAGTGTCAGTTCACAATAAGGCAAGGCAAGGCATCTGTCCTCTGGGATATGGTTTAGAAAGTTCCTTCTCCCTCACATGCAAATGAATGAACATTTATTTTCTTTTAGTTTGCTGTCATTTGTACATGCATGGCCACAGAATTTTGTTAGTTTCTATAGCTTTTCTTCTTTCTCTTGTTTTACAATCAGGTTATTAATTTATGAACAGCATCTGTGTTCTCATGACAACAATGTAGTTTATGGTGTCAGACTCTCTGGCCTACTTGTATGGCAGTTATTTGTTATTAAACTAATAAACATTTTTATTACTTTATTTTTCATGTGTATGGATATTTTTAGCATATATTTTGTTGATACTTTGAGAATCTTGTAACGTATGCAATGTGTTTTGATCCTATTCACCCTCCATTCTTTCCCCTCACTCTTCCTTTGCTTACCCCTTCCAAACTTTGAATCTGTTTTAAAATAAAATGTTTTGAGATTCTAATATTCTTACATCATTTCTCCCTTCCCTTTCCTCCCTTCAAAGCCTCCTACATACCCAAACTTGGTCTCATTTAGATTCATGGTTTCTTTTACTTTAATCATTTGTGAGTGGTGTTTATAGGAGGTGTGGCTTTGTTTGAGTAGGTGTGACCTTGTTGGAGGAAGTGCGTCACTGTGTTGGGGGTGGTCTCTGAGGTCTCCTATGCTCAAGCTACATCCAGCCACACAGTTGCTTCTGCCACCTGCAGATTGGGATGTAAAACTCTCAGCTCCTTCTCCAGCACCATGTCTGCTTTTATGTCACCCTAGAAATAATGGACTAAACTTCTGAAACTGTAAGCCAGTCACAATTGAATGCTTTCCTTTATGTCACTGAGGTATACTCAGGTAGGGAAATAATTGTGGAGCAGTATAGTTTAATAATTCCTCGGAAATGGGACAGGCAGTGTTTGTTTAAAAGGAAGATTTTTCGGAGCCACATCCAAAGATTTTGTCTGGATGAGACCCAGGAAAAGGTAACTTTCCAGGATGGCAACTGGATAAATACCAATTTATGCATAACATACTCTTTTTGTACTGGAGTATGGGGGAGGGGAGAAGGTTCAGGGTCAAATTTGCAATAAGGACTAAAATTTAAGTTACATTTGGGACGCTACTTACTCTCAGCCATTCCCTCATCATCTCCAGATGCTTATTCTGTTGATACTGCTTGTAGCCCCCAATGAAGGATCCTTGATACAGACTCAGCTTTGCTGTGTCAGCCACAAACGTGTGTGGTGGGGGGGAGGAGACGAACTCTTACAAAGTAACATTATTGACTGATTTGTTATAGGTGTAACTGTTCATCTCCTTATGGAATCTGTTGCAACTTCAATTGTTAAAAATCATAAATAGGGAAGACATTCATCTTATGAAGGCAATTGTAGGGTTTACTATTTTGTTTCACACATGGTATTTGCAGATGGCAACTTTTAAAAAACAATTCATTTTACTTTTGAAGGAGATGTGAAACATAACATACATTGAAGCACTATGAACTGTAAAACATAGTAGACAAAATCTCCCACTGGAAAAATTTTCCCTGCCAACTAGTTATTTTTAGAATGTAATACAATCAACAACTGTTCAAAAAATATTTGAGTCACATTCATGTTAAAATTTCTGGTATATATATATTAAAAGATGAATTAAATTTTAATGTTTTAAGTAAATAATGTAATTTGCCTGTAATCAACATACATAATCTCACATTTAAAAAAATTTAAAAGCCCAATGCATGTGTGTCAAATTAGGCACTAAGTGTTTACCACTATAATGAAATGTCTTCCTACTGAAAGTTATATCTAATGGAAATACTATCCTACTTGTGTCTAAATTTAGATTCATTACAATGATATAAAGTATTTTCAAGGTGACCACATGTGGCCAGTGGCTACTACTTCAGCTTTGGTACTATTCTAGAATTTTGCTTGCACCTCTAAAGGGCCATGAACTGCTGTGAGGTTTATTTTTGTTTGATATGCCACTTGGCTGACACTTGTCTTTTTCACATTCTAAAAGCCAATTCAAAGGGTAAGAGAAAACTGCAAGTTTCTTTTGGCATGTTCACTGAACATTATTAATGTTTGGTTGTGAATAAATTCTCTGGGCAAAATAAAACGACTTTCCAGAAGTAGGTAAATGTGTTGTTGATTTGGACTTAGAAAAATAAGCCTAGGATATAGTGGGTGAATCACTTTTGGCCTCTGCTTTCGATGACTGTCTTCTAGCCTGACGACAGATTTAACTTCTGCCTATTAGGGTTAGCGATTTTCACCTTCCTGACAGGCAAACTTCAGAGTTTGCACTTCTCGTAGTACACAGAAAGCTTTCACAAAACCAGGCGGTAGCCGCTGAACTTGCATCGCCAGGGATTCAGCCAAAGCTCCTTTCTATTTTTAGCCCGACCAACTGCGGGTCAATTCAAGTTTCTGCTTCTGAAAAGCGCTCAGATACAAAACAGAAAAGCGGAAGCCTAGATCTTTGCCATTCAAAGTCCCCGGAGACTACACCCACCGAAACTCCACCGGGGAATTGTTTTGGAGGCGGCTGCAGCCAGCCCCAGCAAGTCCCGGCGCCCAGCCTGGAGACCGCACTGCTTTCTACACCCTGCTAGGCGCGGCCCCGCCCAGCCCGGTTTTGGGGTGTGGCCAGGCGCGGAGGGGGCGTGTCGAGCCTCGGGGCGAGGCGGGGCGAGCGCGGAGGCGGAAGTTCTCCGGCGGCCAGAGTGGGGGACGGCGCAGGCACCGGGAGCCACTTGTCAGCGCTGCTCTGAGGCGGAGGCTGTGCCGCGAGGGTCCGGAGGTGAGTGGCGGCGGGCGGCGGCGGAGCGCGGCGCGGGCGGAGGAGGAGAAGGAGGTGGCGGGCTGTTGCGCGCCGTGGGGCGCGGGGCTGGAGGAAGACGGGGCGCGCGTCCCTCGGGGAGCCGCGGCTCTTCAGGTGTCCTGGGTGCGCGCGGCGGCGGAGGTGCCGGCACCGGGCGCGCGGCGGGCGGGTTGGAGCCCCGCAGCCGGGACTGGCGCTCGGGAGAGCCGGGTGCGCCAGGGGGCGCCCGCAGAGACCCCGGGCAGGCGGCGAAGGGGGCAGCAACCTCGGCCTGAGGGTGCACCGGCCCCCGGGAGGCTCGGGCGTGCGGAGAAGGTGCGCCCGCACGCACAGCCAAGCGGCGCTATTATTTTGTTTGCTGGCTTCCAGGCTACCGAGAAGCGTTTATTTCCCCTCGCTTCAATATTTACAGTTGTGTAACCTGTCAGGGGAAAGGTCGGTGCGTCCAGAAATGAAGCCCATTTAGCAAATTGGTCGCGATCGCCGGGAGTTTTGAAACCGGTTTACTTGTTGGCGCTTTTGTCAGACGGCGCTTCAGCTGCGTTTGGCAATGAGTGGGAAAAGGAAGGGCGTACGGACTGGGCAGAACTTGGAAAGAAAATTCCTGTCTGGGCTGGGCAGGTCTAGGGTGTGATCGCCAGATCCTATCCCAGGTCCTCCTCCTTGACCCGAGGACGTCTGAACCCGCCTGCCACGGAAACTGCTGGCTGGGGAACCTTATTTGGCCAACAGGGCTAGGCGTGAACCTCAGCTGGGGGAACGTCTCCTCCCGCTTTCCTCCTGAGCCTTAGTTCTTCAGCCCTGCCACCATTCTATCTCAGTAGGTGAGAAAGAATCTAGATAGTCCTCTTTAATTAAAGGGCTTGTCACTCGGGGTGGATCTCTCCCCCTTTGCACTCACCAAGGAAGCTGACTTAGAAGTGTGGGAAACCACGTCCAGCCCTCCTCACTAGCCCTAGATGGAAGGCATAACTTAGATAGTCCCCAAAAGAAAATCCAGAGCTCTGCAGAAATTCCAACATTTTTACTTGTTTGAAAGCAGAGTAAGTTGTTATTTCCTGCCTGTTCTGTTGGTATTTTAGGGTTTGGAGACTAATAACCACATAGGGGAGACTTGGAAAAGGCCAATAAAAATATTGCCATTGCTTAAGGATAGAATATTTTAAGACAGATGAATTCCAAATGAAGCTAGCAGAAGGGGAGCTTAGAGAGGAGACAACCAGTGTTATGGTGTGGCTCACCTGACCAGCGCTAGAAGTCTGAATAGCAAATGGGAGCAATCAGGAAAGGGAAGTTAATGGATGTGGGTTGCTACATACAAGGAATACATTCTCTCCTAGGGAAGAATGGAGCCGGATGAAGTTCAGCATAACTTTCACATTCTTCCCCTGGCACAGTTAAAGATTAAAAAAGGACAGTGGCCAGCCGGTGAAGTATCCGCTGGCTCACGGATTTATTTGTACTGTATGTCAATATCAAGACTGCCTCTGCTGGCCTTTCTCTGCGGGTCTTGCAGAGAGCTTTTTATGACAGGAAGGCGATTTTGTGTGGCATGTTACTCACTCCCTGCCATTCGGTTTTCACCTGCAGTTCAACAGTTTGACTTCTGGCGTCCTTTGAGTCTTTTTGTGTGGCCTTTGCTCTACTGCAGTACCAAAGTAGTTCACTGTGCAGTAGTATATTCCATCTGCAAAGTTCCACAGTGTGCCTTATCCCTGAAATCATTTTTCTTTAGGGACTAGGCTTCCTTTGAAATGTTGCATCAGTTTCCCTTTTCCAGAAGAAGGAATCTGTTTGCCCTCTCCTTGGTGGTCCATGTGCCGCTGAACTTTCGCCTCATGGCTAGACGTTTGAGTGGATTTAAAAAGTAGTTTATTAAGGTGGCTGACTTAACAGTTCAGATTTTCTAAGGAAGCCTGAAATATGTTCTTGTTTGCTTTTGCATTGGGAATTGGTCCTAAGGTCTCATAAATGCTAGGCAAGCTCTCTACCATTGAGCTGCATTTCCATCCCCCAGAGCTTTGCTTGTCAAGTGTCTTTAAAGCTATGAAATCATATACCTACCTTATTTTTTAAATGGAGGAACTGTATGTCCATAATATTATTTGTTTTTTAAAGAGGGAACAACTCCCATTCTTCCCAGATGCCTCCATAGGACACTCAGGTAAATTTTGAAAGAGCTACCTGGAGTCATTATGAGCACAGCAAGATTGGGGGGGGGATGGAAAAGAGGACTGCATTATGGCAATTTTCTAAGGTTCCAATTTAGTTTCATTAAGGTTAACCTGCACTTTAGCCTCATTTACTGGCTTGCGAGGCTTTACTCTCTGCTGTGCTGGATGATCTATGTGTATAAAAGAAAACAAAGGTTCAAACTAAAATACCACCTGTTCTAGAATATAGCCTAGCATTACCAATATGAAGGAACAATAAGGCTTTAGGTTCAATTCCCAGTACAAGAAACAAACAAATAGACATACAACAATAACCACCATCCCCCGATTTTAGGCACACATCATACTTCTAAGAAAATCTGAACTGTTAAATCAGCAACTTTATCTTTCCTGCGTTAATATACTTTTCCACTTTTTTTTTTTGGAGACAAGGTTTCTCTGTGTAGCTTTGTAGACCAGGCTGGCCTGGAACTCACAGAGATCCGCTTGTCTCTCTTCCTCCTCGAGTGCTGGGATTAAAGGCATGTGCCACGACTGCCCAGCACTTTTCCACTTTTTAAAACCCACTGAAATTTCTGTTCCATTACACTGACTTCAGAATTACATGTATATATCCGAACACACTGAGAATAAAGCAACTTTAAATTCCCTTAACTGTGGAAAATACCATATTTCTATAGAAGCTATGTGTTACAGCTCTTATTAGAAGTCTGGGCTCATCTCAGTTTTAAGTGATTTGTTATTTAGAAAACACAAACAGAACCAACAGATCTGCAGTCCCTTTAATATGTGCAGATAGTTGAAGTGAGAATAGTGTTCTTGTCGATTACAGTAAAAAAAAAAAGATGCACAAGATGGAGGGAATAGGAAAATCACATTGACTTACAATAGAAATAAAATCTTGTTCTGGTCTGGGCATGTAATTCCTCCAATAAAATATTCAAGTTTGTATGTGAGACTCCACAAATTTGGTTTTGCAATTTATAAATCTGGACAGATGTCTAAAAATGCATTCTGATAGGGAATTGATATGAGTATAAAGCTGTGTATTAATTAGCTCAGCAGATTCCTTTTCCTCAGCTGAAGCTAATCAAGAATTTGCTGGATATAACCTGTATGTCCTTTCATCCCAACCCAAAATACCAAACAGTTTTGTTAGCTTGATAGACAGTGGATTGATATATGTAATTTGGTTTCTAATAAACATTTTTATTAACCATATAATTTTCTTTTGTAGTTTCTCTCATTCTTTTTTGGAACTGCACATTGAATCCTTGGAACCATGAGCAGCTACAATGTGTCGTTGGTTGGCCCAGCTCCTTGGGGTTTCCGTCTCCAAGGTGGCAAGGATTTCAACATGCCCCTGACAATCTCGAGTGTAAGCAACCTTTTCAGATGTTACTACAAACATTTGTCCACTGTTTGGTCCCGGGGACCTCAGGACTGTGCTGTTGAATTCTCTGTTGTGTGGTCCACTTACTGCAGTCGTGGGAGCTTTGTCCCCCTACCAGGTTTGGCTGTCTAACGAAGAGGCAGGGACACAGTACTTAACAAGGGCAGGTTTAGTTCAGTGCAGCTTATTTTCATTTTCTCTGATGTTAACAAAACTAAAACAGAAAGCATCTAACCAAGGAGCCAACTCTAAGGGTTTGAATTGCCCCTTGTTTGGGAAATTCTCTGGGCTTAGGTGTTTCTTCAGAAGTACTTTTATGGCATTGTACTATCAAGTTTTAATGGCTCCTTTCAGTTCCAAAGACTGTCCGTTAACACTGGTGGTCATGACTGGTTTTGGTATTGTTTCCTCACCTCATATTCTGGTGGAGGTAATAGTTATGAGTGAGATGGGAAAAAGCTCCTTAGATCTGTGGAGAGAACGAAGGGTGTGGATCTCCAGCTAGACTTTCAGCCTGTGAATAGTTGGGATTTGAGTTCTCACCTCATTGGGATTTGGTTGAATGCAGTGTGTGTGTGTGTGTGTAGACACGGAGAGAGGGAGAAGGAAAAGGAGTGAGAGGAGTCAGGAGAGAGACTGGCTGAGACTCACTGTGTATCCCTGAATGGCCTGGACCTTGCCATGTAGACCAGGCTGGCCTTGAATACACCTGCCTCCCACGTACTGAGTAGAGGTGTGCACCCTCTTGTCTGGACTTAGAATGTCTTGGTGATTCTGAGAAAGGAATAATTACAACTTTTACTTATTGAGACTGGGTCAGGCACAGTTTCACTCACCAATAGGTACTTATTACTATTATTTATTTGCATAACTTCCTTTGTGTATGTGTATGTATTTGTATGTATGCATGTTGATGTACACACTCCGGACAGGCCAGACAGGAAGTTGGGTATCTGCCTCCATCACTCTGCCTTACTGCTTTGAGATAGGGACTCACTGAACCAGAAGTTCACTGTGGTCAGTGAGCTCTCTTAGCATCTGCCTGTCTCTGCCCACTGACACAGCCATGCCTGGCTTTTTATATGGGTGCTGGGGATTCAAACTCTGGTCCTTCGGCTTGCAGAGCAAGCATTTTTACCCACTGAGTCATCTTCCCAGCCTTCTAGTTGCTTAACTTTGTAGAGATTTGTTGCATATTCTTACACATGTGAACTTTATTTGTTAAAATACTAGCATATTATACATAGTTCCCATACTTGCTTTTCTGTCTGTAAGTTTTCTTAACATCTCCCTCTCTCCTTTTCCCTCCGTCCTCCTTGTTTCTCTTTCTCCATGCCTCTGTCTCTCTCCTTCCTTCCTTCCTTCCTTCCTTCCTTCCTTCCTTCCTTCCTTCCTTCCTTCCCTTCTTTGCTTCTTTTCTTCTTTGTCTTTTTTTTTTTTTACTTTTGGGATAGTATGCTGTAGCAGGCCTCAAATAGATGGTGCTCCAACTGACTTGTGAAGCAACCTTGTTTCTAATCTAAATTTAAACTGAAAAAAAAAAATAGATGGTGCTCCTCCTGTCTCAACTTCTTGAGTACTGGGATTATAGGTATTTGCTACCAGGCCTGTCTCTGATATTCTTTAGTTACATATGCTTATATATATTATATACAAAAATATTTTTGTATATATTTTGTCTCAGTATATATGTAAAATCCTACTTGATTTTGAATATTTAAGAAAAGTTAGTGCCCCCAACTTATTACAGATATTACATATCACCTCTTAACTAATGAAGTTCTCTTGTTTCTTGGCAGCGAATTTACAGATAGTTTATCTTTAACTTGTTGCAAGTATCTTTCTAGATTCTAGCTGATCGTATTTTTCAGGAAAGTGCATTTACATAATGTAATATATATAAGGGCTGAAACTTTGTGCTTAGTTTTAAATGTGAAGTGTCCATGTGAGCATGTTGTGTTAGGAATCAATTTTAGTCATGTGAGATAGTACTTCCATATTGAAGGTCTGTGATGAGGGTTAAATACTATGGTTTTATCTTACATTAACTTTTTCACTTGCTATTTTAGTTTGCTAAAGAACATTGTGTAGCTTGAAAGCTTCTTACATTATTTTTTCTTTACTCATGTGTGTATGCGCGTGCATGTGCGCCTGCATGCATGCATTGAGTACTTGTGCTCCTTTGTGTGCACGAGCATGCCATGATGCAGGGTACAAGTCAGAGTACAACGTGCAGGAGTGCCTTTCCACCCGTGAGTTCCTGGGCCTGAGCTCAGGTGCCTTTTACCTGCTAAGCCATCTCACCACCCTTAGTTTAAAATATTCCAAGCTTTTCTGAGAAAAGGTCCAGAAAAGAATTGGTACCTAAGGGAAGCAGACAGACTCTATCATTCGCCTTGCTGTTTATTACCGAAGATGTAAAGCACACATAGCGGTGGTGTGGTGCCAAGGCTTTACAGAGTTTTGTGTGCTTCAGTTCCCTGGCACACCGTCTGCCATGCTAGCTCCCAAGTTGTGATGCTGACACAGGGAACACTGCATACCTCCACACATGCCCTTCCCTGGCACAGAAATGCTTTCCCTGTGTAGACAGAGTGCTAATTAAAGGATTTGAGCATACTGATTAAAAGCAACCACGATAACAAAGCTGGTGACTTATTTCTGTTCTCTTACAAAAGTGTCTGCCATCTCTTGTGACCTTTTTGGGCCTGTGCAGTGGGGCATGCAATTCATTCTGGACTGGACAGGATTGGGAGGGGAGGGGCGGAGGGAATGTTGGCTCAACTGGACTGCAAGGCCCTTGGCCTTTTAGTGTAGTTATTTTTAACCCCTTGTATGGTTTAGTTTAAACACGCCCAGTAGCAGTGTCTAATGGAAATTTGTGCCTAATAGCATTTATATTTTGTTAAAATTGTTAATGTTATAAATGCCTTACTTATTTTAATGGCCCTCTTTGATCATACTTATTCTGTTTTTTTTAAATATAGAATTGCTGTTTTTTTTCAGTGATCATGAGGTTCCTTAATGAATAGTATTGAGACACAGTTAAAACCTGACAGTGTGCCTTAACGTGTAATTTAATGATTCTCGGATGTAATGATCCATATGTAAAATTAGCAAGGTTTAGTACGTTAGAACCTCTCAATTGCTGTTTTTTGTAATGACATGCAATGGAAATGAAAGGTATTTAGGGGCTTGAAACATTAAGTATCTCAGTTTTGTCGTTTGGAAAAGGAGAGAGTAGAAGAGAAACCCAGAGGCTTGAACATCTTATCTGTAGAGTTCACAAGCAGACAGTTTTCCTGTGATGAGATGTGGGGAACTCACGTCTTAGAACACTGCAACTTTGGGATAGTAATTAATTTTGGGGTAAATAAGCCACTGGGAGGGGCTTGAACATGCTTACCTGACCTGGTTCATAAAGAATGAAAACTGAAACCTTAGCATTTCACTGAACTTTGCTCATCATCTGTACTGTGTGATATTTTGTGGGTGGGTCTCTAAGGTAGGCTTGACAGCTCCTGCTGACTTTTCTGAACAAAGCTCAGATTGTGACAAAAGCGAGCTCATGCCATTGTCTTCAGTTGTCTCTTTAAAATGCAGTGTTGCTGCTGGAGTTTGCAGACCGCTTTTTATGACCCTATGTTTATGGGAATAGCCCCGAAGCCATGGAATGTGGGGATGGGTTTCTTTGTAGCAGTGTGGGTTTGTTGGTCTTCGCCAGTATATTTTATAAGAAGAAACAGGAGACTAGTTACACAACTCAAGGCTGTACTTTGGCAAGCTGCTTTTTTTCTTGGTGGAGTTATAAGGACTTTTTGTATATAAGCTTCTCTTCAATTCAAGATCTCAAAGTTGCTCTACTTTGCTGTGTGTCGTTACCTGAAGTGTGACCTGGAGCATCTTTATTACTAGTATTTGGATTTCTCCCAGTTCTCCATTAAATGTGTTTTGGAAGTTGCTTTAGAAGGTTAGAGGTTTTTTTTTTTTTTTTCTTTTTGAATACTCTATTGACCTTGATTCTCAAGGGTTAGAGGAGAATAAATTGTTATAAGTTCAGACACAACTTCATTTGGACTTTAAAAGCCTAGGAAATAGATCATTTTCTCAAGTATGGAACTCAGTTTGGGGATAGATCACAGAATACAGAAAGACAATTGTGAAACACTTGGCTGGGAATTTATGTACTTGGAGGTTATAGGCATTCCTCCTAGAAACCACTGAAGAAGATAAGAAGTTTTGGAAAATACAGAATTAATATGGTGAAGAAATGAGCACAGTCCAGCAGTACTGGATAGTGCGTCACACCTATCACGTGACAGTATTTGATGAAATGACAAACATATTGGCCAGTGGTTTTTCAGTTTTAGTGGGTGTAAATCTTTTGTACTTGGAGGGATTTGAGTCTTCAAAAGGCATTAATTGAAATGGCCCTCAATGGATGGAATTTGAATACCTCTAGTTTTCCTGTCATTTTTCCGTGCGTGCGTCACCGTGGGTTGACTTCTGGTTAAGCTGTAGATGTAGTGACCACTTCTCCAGACACACCAGCTGCAGTTGCTCTCCTGGGTAACAGACTGAAACACCCTTCAGTCAGCCCCTTTAGGTTGAATTGAGACAGCTGTCTTCCTTGGAATAAATGGCTCCATCGTTAGTCTAAAGCTGTTGAGTCATGGTGCCCAGTTACAAAGTTAATTTAGTTTATGTAAGTACATAGTGTATGTCTCACATGTATGCTCACTCTCTGCTTTTAAATATCAATTGCTTTCTTTCTTTCTTTTGTGGGGGGATGGGGGGGTGGTTCAGAATCCCTGCTTGTCTGATGTGGTTTTCTCTTTTGTGGTCACAAAATGTCAACAACTGAAAGATAATTCTAATGATAGTTTTCCATTGTAAAGAAGTAAAAATCGATACATTTTTATTACAAATGAGTAATTTTAAAGAATTTTAAGCTTATTTGCTTTTACCCAATACTGGTTTTATAG